TAAGGTGGGAAACATATACTGCAAGAGAAACTAAATCTCAATTTTTTAGAAAATAGTATTCTGTCAACAGTTGATACACAACCAGTGTTGGAAATTCAAGATGATTTTTATACATGCAGAGTACACATTGTTCATAAAGTTCATGTGCAACATATGAAAACATATTCATATGCAAAATATCATGCCTATCTATATTTTATCATATGCACAAAAATTTAAAAAGATGTACGTTGTGTCAATAACATAACAGTAATAGTGGGATTTGTTGCTTCAAAATTTTGTGCCTATAATAATTATTAGACTAATAAGTCTCATTCTCAGTATGGAAGTTCCTATGTATGCATCAAAATACAGAATAAATCTCAGCCTAGATCATTTAACTGATAGAAATTCAGCACTAATACTAGCATGGACTGAAAGTGGAAAGGGGTAATTTGACCAAAATGATTCTGATATTTAAATATTCTACTATAAATTATTGGTTATTTAAATAAATAGAATGATATTATACTGTCAAATTAGTTTGAAGCAAATGGATGGTGTGATGTCACTTTTCACCAGTATCCATCCGCCTGTGAAAATAAAATCCAGGATGGATACAATGTATTAATTATCAAAATTTTGCACACAAATAATAGAAGAACAAATAATATAGAAGTTTTCAACAATATGATCTGTAAATTGTTTTAGAATTTCATTGTTTGTCATATTTTACCAGACAATTATATTTTACAATTCAAAATTTTCATTCAACATTATTTAATTTATACTAGTTAGTTAAGTCTGAAATGAATCTTCTGTTCCACTCTAAAATATATAATAATAGTTAATAGTATTTGCATAACATATAGTACTAGTTAATCAATTTTCAAGTGAATTAATTATTCTACCCTAAAATATATATTAGTTAGTCAAATATGGTTTGAATTTGTTATTTAACTTTAAAAAATATATCAGAAAGTTGAACTGGTTCAAATCAACTATTCAATTTTAAACATATACTAGTTAGTCAAACAGGTTTGAATCAAATATTCCATTTTACTCTAAAATATATTTAGCTACTTAGGTTAGACAAATACAAAGTTTGGAATTGACTATACGGTCTCTCCCTATTTTATACGATCAACTTTGAACCCAATACTGCGAAAACTGAGATTTCTCAAAGAGCAAATAAACTTTCTTTTTCAACATTAGAATCAATTATTATACATGTGGATTAAGGAAATATTGTTACCAAATCTATTTATTCTTTTATTTGATTTGTACAAAATTTACAAAATGATTATAGAAAAAGAAAAATCAGGACATAATGCAATAGAAAAAAAATTTATTAATATGTTTATATGGAAATAGATAAAGGATATACTCATATTTAAAAATTATTTGAAATTATTATGGAAGGAAAACATAATTATAGTAGTATATTACAAAAAAAGATGGACAATAAAATAAAAGTTTTTATCATAATGTACATATCATTGTCTTTTTACAACCTTCATAAAAATTGATAACACAAAATTTGAGATTCAAAAACAAGACCATTAAACATTAAGAATGAAATACTGATATTCATTTAGCAAAGGAAATACATGAAATATGAAATATTCATATCTGATAATCCAATAAAAATTATACGTGATAATAGCAAAAACTTGATAAAAAAAATTTCAATGACTTATGTTAGAATTCTTTGAAACATAAATTAAGTTATGTGAGACTTTACCAAATTATGCAGTGGAATTATGACTACTATATGATTGAAGAATATACATGATAATTAACTGCAGTAAACTTCAGATATAAAATTTACAGTTTATATGAGTATTTCCCTTTATTCTATAATGAAAAGAGAAAAGTCTGGCGTGAAGTCTGGAGCACTTATTTTCTTATTAGGTATTACTATGCACAATAATTCTTATAATAAAATGAATCATATAGTTGAAAATGGGAAAATTATGGGCATAGATTTATATAAACAATATCTGATATTTTAATCAGGGAATATTATTAAAAATTAAAAAAAAAACTTTCCAATCTCAGATGGAGGTGGAGGAAATAGTACTTACAGATTGGTATATTGAAAATGTGAACATAGTTTATATAAATGATAATTGAAACCAAAATTTTTACTAATAAAATTGTTTTAAAATAATGCTATTAGAGGGACATTTTTACAATCATTTTAAAATTAAAAAAAACTTCCTAATTTCACGATGGAGGTGAAAGGAATAGTATTAAAAAAAGACTTTCCAATCTTTTGTGGAGGTGGGAAATGTTGCTGAAGTATGGACTAGATTAAGTATTAAAAAGTGATATCTGAAACTATAGTATAAGAATAAATTCATCAGATCATGGTATTATTCTTTTATCATGCATGCATGATACAGCACAAACTAGTTGAAATACCTTGAAAAATTTAATTAAGAGTGCCACCATCAGCATATTTAAATAGAAAACTATATATTAAATTAATTTGTAAAGAGATGAAACTGGATCAGATAAAAGATGTTCTTGAAATCACATCCCTAATCTAATAAGCAAGGAGAGAAAGAATTTCTACTCTAAAGACCATCATAAGGAATGAAAGAATTTCAAAATATTGCAGGATTACTTTCACCTATTGTACAAAGTAATTTACAATTACATCAAATTTCTTAATGAAGATAGAGAGAATGATTTTATTATATTAATTGCAATATATTTTTTGCCAAAGTATGAACTAAGTCAAGTATTGAAAAGTAATACCTGAAACTATCTATAGACTGACTATAAGGAGATTATTAAATTAATTTGTAACTATATGAAAAGATGCTTTTGAAATTGCGCTCCTAATCAAAGTGTAAGCAAAGAGAAGAAAGGTGAATTCCTACTCTATCTATATACCATCAAAAGGATTTTAATAATATTGCAGAATTACTTTCATCTATTAAGATTTTTTAAAAATAAAATATGACAACATTTGTTGTAACTGAAATTGAAATCTTAAATTCAGTGAAATTATCATAAGGTCAATTGCTAAATTTGCTATGGATGAATACTCAATCAACTGGTGAAGGGGACTCCAAGAGGTGTGATACTGAGAACATAAAGAAGAGGTCATATGACTTGGCCAAATGAGTTAACCACGAAACTGAAATTTTCCATTAGCACTAGAAGTGAACCTGATTCTGAATATGTCTACAAGTCCTATCAATAATGAAGATTTCTCATAAGATTCCTAAGATCAAGAGGTTTAATGATTACTTTGAAGAGTATGACTCCTATTTTCAAATTTGAATCTTTTATTGAGATGCGTAATATTATATATTATACAGATAAGCTAACATTGAATAGGATTAATTTTTTAAGGAAATTTGCTTCTGACTTTCTTTTTATAATTTTTAATCATTAATTATGTATTTTGTGATTATTCATACATTGTGTCATCATAAATATTAAAGGTAATGAATAAAAAATATAATACAAATAATTCACAACCTTCAGCTTTTTTTAAATTTGATAAAAATTAAGTTGGCAAAAAAAATAAAACCAATATCAGTAATTCTTCCCTTTACAAACTTATAAATTTATTATAAAACTTATAAATACATGTTCAGTTCAATTTTTATTTTTGTTATTTTTATTTTTTTTCAAAATAATAAAAAGAAATAAGGTCCCCCTTTTGGGAAGGTGAAACATCCAAGAAAACTGTATGTCTATCATTATTCTCTACCTGGAGAGCATTTTGTTGTAACTATCTAATTAATGAAACATAAAATATTAGATTTGAAATAAAGAATATTTATTATTCTGTGATTGTAGTCTCTATAAGATCCTATAAAAATGATATAAAAACAAAATGTGTTAAATTTGTTATTCATATGTAATAAATGTCTAAAAAAGCACCATTTTGTTTAATTTTCATTTTTTGTAATAAGACATAAATTGGACAAAATGGTGCTTTTTTAGACATTTATTACACATGAACAACAAATTTAACACATTTTGTTTTTATAGGGAGAAAGTTGTAAATCATAATTTTTGGCACATTAGATTTGTCTCATTGAGATTAGGGATGGCAATGGTCATGGTCATTAACCAATTATGACCAGTCATGACTGTAACCGATATTGGTCGGTCAAGACTTCTGACTGATCGTTTGACCAACCGTTTAACCAACCATTTAACTGACCATTTGACCAATTATTATCAGTCTGGTTTTTAACATTTTTGCAATTATTACAGATGATTTCATAATGTGTAGAACACTTGGCAAATTTTAAAGAACTTGAAAGTATTTGGTAAAGCTTGATATAAAACACTGATTTTGGAGTACTATTCTGAAAATGGTAGTATAATTTTATCTTATTTTGAACTTTACAAAATATTTTTGAGTTCTTTAAATTTTGCCAAGTATCCCATACATTATGAAATCAGCTGTAATATAAAAAAACGTGTGAAAACATTTTTTATCAATAATTTAATAAAAAAAGTTTTTTTGCAAAAGTTTTTAATTTTTTAACAAAAAATGTTATGAAAATGTTTTTATTAATAATTTAATTAACAAAAATATTTTTGTAACATTTTTTTATAGAAAACATTGTGAAAATGTTTTTTATTAATAATTTAATTAAAAAAACATTTTTGCAACATTTTTAATAAAAAATGTTGCAGAAACTCTAAAAACTGAACTGATAATGATTGGTCAAATGTAGAGTTCTGAATGGGTCAGGTCAGGTCAGGTCATATCAGGTTATCTATTTGACCTGAACTGAACTGAAACCTGAAAATTTTCAGGATTTATATTAAAAATATCAAAAAAAATGTATTGCGATTCAGTTTTTTATATTAAAATCGTATAAAAAGGTGAATCGCAATACCGCAACTAACTTTTTAAATATAAAATTAAGGGAAAGATCGCCACTCAGCGGGATAAAATCGTCAAAATTTTATAATTAAATTTACGGGCTTTGTATTAATAAAAAAACCGTTTTTTGGAATGCCGCGTTCTTTATTATAAGTTTTTTTCAATAAACCAAAAAAGACAGTATAAAATAATTTTTTTGGCCGAGAGGGATATTTACAAGATCAATATTATGGTATATGTACATAAATACTAGTAGAAACCATTTAATTTTTTAAAAAACACTATTTTTTACATAATTTATAAAGAAAAGGACCGAAACCTATCAAATTAACGAAAAAAATGATCTATTAACATCCTTAAATATAAAAAAACTATTCACATGCCAGAGTCCCAAGGTACCTAAAACTGAGATCTACTGAAAAAAAAACAAACATGTTAGTAACTAAAAATTTTTATTAACAGCCTTAAAAAATTCTATTCGCATAGTTACTTTAAAGTAATCCAAAATATAAGACGTATAGGAACGAAATCTACAAAAAAAATAAAAGGAATATTAGTAACTAATAACAATTTTCACTAAAAAAGGTATGTTTACTTACCTTTCCAAGAATTCCAAAGCACTCAAGTCCAAAAAAATGAAACCTAAAAAAAAAAAAATAAAAGGAATATTATTAAAGCCATACTTAGACTACTAAGACTCCTAATTTTAAGCCTAAATAACTAAAATAAATGGAGAAGATAAATATATTTTCACTATTAAGAAACAAGAAAATTACCAATAAATAAATTATAAACTAAAATTTATAAATTAAATAAAACTAAATAAAAATAAAATATAGGTCAAAATATTTTACTTAACGTACAAGCCTATTAAATTTACAGCTGGAATGGCGCGTTCTTCCAGAGTAAAGTCAAAGAGTTTGAACTTTGACGACGCTAAACTTCGTGAGTGGCTTGGCTAGGATTGACATTATCCGTTACCGCATTCAGCATTTTTAATTAATAATCATTTGAGAAGACGTCACCTTAACAAAAACTGCGTACTAGCCATTTTTAGTAATAATTTGCGTAAATCGGCATTATTAAATTTCTCTCGTTAAGTGCCGATTTCTCCCTTAATATAAAAAAGTGAATTCCGATACCGCAATTCACTTTTTATATATAAAATTGATATAAAAAAGTGAATTCAGATATCACAATTCACTTTTTATATATAAAATCAATATAAAAAAGTGAATTCCGATACCGCAATTCACTTTTTATATATAAAATCGATATAAAAAAGTGAATTCTGATATCACAATTCACTTTTATTATATAAAATCAATATAAAAAGTGAATTATAATACCATAACTCACTTATTATATAAAATCATAGTTTCAGGTCAACAGGTCATTCAGGTTATATTGATGTTACAACCTGAACTGATTCTGAATTGCAATTGCTAAACCTGACCTGAAAAATTCAGGTCAACCTGTCAGGTTACCTGAATTTGGTCAACCTGTTCAAAACTCTAGTCAAATGGTTGGTCAAATGGTTGGTCAATCAGTCAGTCAAACCAGTCAGTCAGAACAGTTGGTTCTTGGTTGGTTATAACAGGACCCGAAAAATACATATGGAGGTCATAAATGATCGGCAAGATTTTAGCCTAAAATAAGCAACTTTTCAGGGCCGGAATTATGATAATGCTGGCCAGTATCAAAACGGACAATAAAATTTAGGCCGGCACTATCTAAAAAAGGCAAGATTTTCATGAAAATTTAGGTTCTTTTTAAGCAAACTCAAATGTGACCTTTTTATGTATTTTTCGGGGTCCTGTTATAACTGACCGATGACCGACTATGGCTGACTATTTTCCTAATTGAAATGATTCAATAAATGGTGACAAATTCGTGATAAGCTGATTGATATTGACTGAATTATAATATAAATTGTTTGTTTGTGTAAATTATAAAAATTCATGCAGTAAATGGTTCCATATTTCCAAAAAATCTGAATTGATGACATGAAGGAATTGAAGTATAAAATTTATTTATTCCATTATTAATACAAAATTATATATTTTTTATATGCAATTTTGGTAAAATAAACTGGCCAGATCATCATCTGTATGTATAAGAATGTATAAGAATTGCAAAATATAGTAAGATAAATATCATTTTTAAATTCTTTTGTACTTTTATATATATATTAATCATTTTCCAATTTTAAATTTATTGTAAATAAATCCATCTTATTTAAATCTTCTTTTTTCATCATATTTATAGAATGGATGAATATTAGATTGTTCATCAAGTTTTTGAAGAATAAATAAATTAATAAGGTGCAGAAATAGAATGATTATTAGTAGGAAATAAAAAATTATCTTTAGTAAAAATGAAATCTTTGGCAGAATTGAAAAAAATGGAATAATCTTTAATTTATTAGAAATAGAATAATCTTTGGTAGAAATGGATGATTCTTAGCTGGAATAGACTGAACTTTAGCAGAAACTAAATTATCTTTTTTAAATAATTTTCTTTTCTTTTTTATATTCCTTAATAATTCTTTTCCAGTATATTTATAATCATCTTGCATAACATGAATGTTCTATATTTAACTGTAATAAGAAATTATTAGTAGTGTGTAAAAATTTTTATTTAGTAATAAAAGAAGGTACATAGCAAATTCCTTCTCCAGAATAAGCAGACTTTTATCAACTTCAAAGATAAGACACCTGCTGAGAGTCCTGGGATGGTTACCAGGGTTTGTCAACAGTAATTTCCCTAAGTCAGACCAGCATATGGTCGGCTTAAGGGTTATCCTATCATTGCAAAATAAAAAAATACACACCTTATATTTTATATTAAGGAAATCTTTTCCTTTACTTAAAAAATGGCCAGTCAAAAGATTATCAAGGTTGTTGTCTAAAACAGCTTTTAAGCTTATTCCAGTTGTCTGGGATTTTTTTGAGAATCTATAATATAAAGTCTTTGTTTTTTGGTTTTTTATTTAAGTTATTTTTTAAAGTTATAAGAACTAGAAAATTTAAAGATAATTAAGATAATTATTAGATAGTTATAAAATATTACTAATCAAATTAATATTTTATAAGGCTTACCTATGTTAATTAATTTCAATAAAAAATATATAATTAAGGAAAATCTTAAATCCTAAGATTAGGATTAATTTTATCAATCTTAAAAATCAATTTTCTAAAAATCAAGTAGTTTTAAATAAAAAAAATCTTCTGTAAATAGTATGACTTATGCTGGTGCATTGAGATATAAAAGTGAAAAAAAATTTATACATGAAATATATAATTGAATCTATTCCTTGTCATATTATAACAAAATTGCATCATTTTGCTAAATATGGTATGATATAACACACGTCAAATGACCAAAAACAGGCAAAAAAAATGGCTAGAATTGCATAAACTATTCGCAAATTTATATAAACTATTTACAAATAGTATAGGTTAATTCGCAAATAGCTAAAAACAGCCAAGAATAGCCAAAAATAGCCAAAAATAGCCACTGCTTTTCACGCTATTTTTTTTGCCAATTTTTAGCATTTCGACCTGTGTAATTTTTGAATAACATTATATCAATATGACAGTTAAAAAATTAGACATATATAGCTTAAGAGATCAATTTTAATTTGTTTATATTTAGCAAATGACTCAACTTTTGCCATTTGATATAGAATTTTTATAACTTAACAAGCTTGACAAAAATTGAATAATTTGAATCAATAGTAATGTAGTATAACTTTTGTCAGACTGACTCATTTGACAACCACATGATTAAGTCATTAACAAATGAAATCCTATTACTACTTTTGAAGTCAAAATGCTGTAATATTATAATACTTTATTTACATAATGATTTTTAGAAAAATTTCCTTTTTAAAAAATAAAATATAACAGAAATAAGTTTTATAGAACAGATATCACTAAATAATAATTGTTATTAAACTTGTGCATATTACTTACAAACTTGCTTATAAAGAGTCATCATTTAATATTATCTTGCACTTTTCATTATAAAACTTTTATATAAATATTAATTACATGTAGGTTATACAAGTTTGACAATGTAATTTAAAAAAGAGTATGAATAGATTAATATAGAGTAGAGGTCTGCATTGACCACTATTTTAAAACCCAGCCTAGCCCGCACTTGTAAATTAATCTGAAGTGCCTGGCCTGGCCCAGCCTGGGCTTAATATATTAAAAACCTGACCCAGACCGGACCTGGACTATTATTATATCATTTTGTTGTATAAAACAAAAACATTGGCCAACTTAATTTTGGCCAGTTGAATTTTGGCCAGAATTACGAAAATCTGAATTTAACGAAAAATCATGTGCTGTTAATTTTGAAGAAATTTTGCCAGCCCAAACCCAGATTCCGGTCCAGGCTGGGTTAGGTTTTTTAGGTTCCAGGTCCCATTTGCAGACCTCTAATATAGAGTATTCAATGGATTTATTGTGAAGTAGATCAAATTCTGTTATATGCATAGTACATTATACTTGATTTTAAAATACAATCATATTAGAATGAAAGTTATCAGTTTTGTAAAAAAATGGTTTACTATAATGAGTTCACTATTAGTATTTATAAATTATTACAAAATGTAAATTTCAAATTAACCAATGAAATCATAAGTCGAATTGAGTTTCAAATCAAATTTTATATGATAAAATTTGTCCTATACTACTTTTTATAATACTTTAACTATATTATTTATGTTATGTCTTATGTGAGTCTATGTAAGTCATTTTGAGTTGTATATGCAGGACACTAAATGAAATGTATTTTAATTCCAAACTAACATTGTCATCTCTTCCTTTAAAACAAAAATATCAGGATATTCAAAAGGGTTAAAACTATACCATCCATTATTAATGAAAGTTCAGGAATATGATATTTTAATGGTAAAAGGCTTTCAACAATTGCCTGAAAAACAGGCTCATCTGCAGAAAATAATGCCATTTTTAATCTTGTTGATAAAAATGTTTTTAAAATTTCAATAAAAGGTGTAATATTACCTGCAACAAGGTTTTCATATGCCGAAGCTATAAGAAAAGCATCATTTATAACTTGTCCATATACTATTTATCTTTGTTTTGTTCTAAAATTCAAATTTATTTATTACAAGTTCAGAAGTTCTAATAAATTATATATAAAATGTTAATAATATTAATACAAATGCAAAAAGTAAGAAAAATAATATATAACTTACAAGAAGATGAATTAGCATCATTGGTATCTCTTGCTCTTTTTAATTTTTCCTTTTGTTTAACATAAAAAATTGTTTTTTCAGTCCATATTCTATTAAAAACTAATTCTAATTCTTCTCCCAGACAATATATTTAACTTTCCATATCATTATATACATAACAATTGTGAAATATGAAATGAATATTATTTT